AATTACAATTTTATCGCAAACTTTGCTTATTTGACAATGATGCCTGAAACTGTTCTAGAAATTATTAGAAACGTTATTGGAATATCTTTGGGAATTTACCTATTAAAAAAAATCAAAACAACCAGTGATAAGGCAAGAAAGAAACTTTCAAAACTAGTTTTTGTCTTTTACTTGACAATTATATGCCCAATTATACTTNTGATAACTTATGTTCACATAATGCTCCAGCCGTCCCCATAGTCTTTCGGCGTCAAACCTCAAAACCCCCATAACTCGCTTCAAAATAAACCATTTTTGCTCATTTTTTCTGTATTCGCCTCAGATTTTTTCCCTTTTTTTGACTATATTTTTTTGAAGTTTAAAATCGAAACTCACACTGGCCAAAACTGTTTTCAACTTGTTTATCGTCGGCGTCACATCTATCAAAATTTTGGGATTTTTGAGACTCTGATACAGTGTGGAATGTTGTACTGGTTCTAGTGCCAAGCTGAAGGAACCATCAGATGCGATGGATTCGTCAAAGGATTCAGAATTTCGATCCATTTGGACGTCTGGATTTTTAGAAGTTTTTGAATTTTTCTCTCGAAAACTCACTTTCCGGCGTCATCCCCAATTCTTTGCACTTTTTCAGCCGACACGCTCGACATTGATATCTGAAATTTTTTAATTATGAATTTTTAAATTTTTTAGAGATTTCGAATTTCTGAATTTCTGAATTTCTGAATTTTTTCGAATTTCTGAATTTTTTCGAATTTCTGAATTTCCAAATCCTCACCGATCATTCCCACTGACATCACACTTCCCAACATTTCTCTGTCGACACTTATACTCCTTTTTCTGAACAAACGATCGTCTGGAAACATTGTGTTCTGGAAACTTCTAAAATTTCAAAAAAATAAAAAGGACTAACCTGAAAAAAGCGGCACAAGCTCTACATGAAAGAACACCGAAATGATTGCCTCGGGATGGCATTCCACAAATAAGACATTTTGCGATTAAAGGAGGTGATGGAGGATCAGAAGTGGATGGTGATGAGATTGATGATGAGGATGAGAATGTTTCCGTTGACATTTTTTGGAATTTGGAAATTTCGGGAATCTTTTTTTGGGTAGGATGAGGCAAGTTGAGATGGAGGTCTGGAAAAATGGCAGTTTTTTTTTTCATTAGAATGAACATTTTTCAATGAAAGTAGAGAAGTTTCGAGCTCAATTATCTCAGTTTCCTCAAGAGATATCAAAAAGTGGTCAACGAATAAAATGTTTATCATAATATTATCAACATTTTATCTGTTGAAAATTTTTTGATATCTTTCACAAGAGCCGAGATAAATCAGCTCAAACAGGCGTGGGGAGTAGTTTTGTTATAGAAGGGTTTATAACTTTGAGCCAATTTATCTCGGTTCCTAATTGTAAGAGAGATATCAAAAATCTGGAAACTGGTAAATGTTTTGTGATGTTATGATAAACATTTTATCTGTTGACAATTTTTGATATCTTTCACAGGATCCGAGATATCTGAGCTCAAGTTACAAGTATTTAATGATAACGTAGCTTTTGAAGGATCTTTAACTTTGAACCGATTCATCTCGGTTCCTATGGAGGATATCAAAAATTTGTCAACTTAAACATTTTTTGTCATAACATCACCAATATTTTATCTGTTGTCAAATTTCAGATATCACTTCCAGGAACCGAGATAAATGAGCACGTCTCGTCTTCATTAGGAAAACAACACTATGTGTTTGAATATTGAAGTGGTATTCTGTTAGAGCATTTACGGTGTATATATTCAGACAGTTTGGGAAATCGGAAATTCAAAATTCCAGAGATTCAAAAAATCAAAATT